ATCCCACAACCATTGCTTCTATTCCTTTATGTGATTTGACTAAAAAGACATGCCAGGAATTTTAAAGTCATTCTAGGTGCTTCCTATTCCAAACCTATATCCAGCTGGACTAAATTCTATGCTTCTGTCTTAACAAATCCATCACCATGCCCGATCCCCACTGACTCTGCCTTAACTCAGTCCTGATGCCCTCTCTAATCTCTCTCATTCAAATCAATGCACAATCTAGATAGTAACATTTCTCTCTCTGCTTAATATTTCAATTGCTTCCCATAGTCTGCAAAAGCATTTCCCTAACTAGTAAAAAAAGTTCCTCCAAAATAAGAAATGTAAAAAGGCATCCTGTGCTCATATAAATTGAAGATACAGATTAAATAAAATCTGGCAGTTTTCTTACCACCAAGATTTTGAAAAGTATTATACCAAACATCTGGATGTGGTTCCCTACCATGAAGAGTTGCGGGGGTGGGGGAAAGAGAAGAGGACAATTCATTAGGACGAAAGGAAGAAGAGGACAAAGTCAAAACTAATTCGAAGAAGACTGTCAACACCATTTGCCAACTCACCAGCGGCTATTACTCGCTTCTTACAAACCTTACAGCCCGTCTATATAGAACACGATTTACAGTCCCTCGAAGAACCCTATTGTCTCCTGACTCCTTTTCCTTATTATATACTTTGCTCCTCCTGCCAAAAAGGCCCTTCCCTAACTTAGTCTGACTGAAGAGCTCCTCCTAGTCCTTCCAAACCCTGGTAAAGTAACTTCTCTAAGATTTTATTGTCCCTTCTACCTCTCAGCAGAGGAATTCTCCCACTTTTGTCCTTCCTCTGTACCTGTGAGCGCATCTATCCCACAATATTGGACTGCAGACTAATACCATAAAGCTTGGAAACCAGGCTAGCACCCAGAAATGTAGTGAATGAATGAGACAAGCAAGATGGGGTATGAGAAAGGAGTAAAACCTTTCCTCTTTTTCTGAGCAAAATTGCACAATAAAGTTAATTTTGTCTGTAGCATGTTCTCATTTCTCATCCCCATACTCCTTTTCCCAGACACCTAGTGATCTCAACCCCCAACACAGCATTTTGTTCTTTTACATCAACTACTTCCTCTCCTCTTTAACCAAAAGTCATTCTGTTTAGAAATTAATAACAAATGAGTTATATCTGCTCAAAGCTGACAAATCTAAGATAAATCTCTAAGTAACAAAATTTTAAAAGAAGTATGACGATGCGAGGCACGGTTACTGCAGTCCACCACAGGAAGGCTGGCCAGAATAAAAATCTGGGAGTCTACCTGACTGAGCTTCCCCGTTCTTCACTCTATCCACACCTCATGGTAGCAACAATAGCTGCTACTGGCAAAGACAGAGATGAAGCTGATGCTATGGCAACCCTATGGATCACCCATTCTTCTTGGATTGAAAAGCTGTTTATTTGCTCGAGAGACCAGTTTTGGTCAATGTTTCATTGCTATGGACAGAAAGTCTCACCAACACGTTCACCAATGAATTTAGAAGAATGCCTTTACTCTAGACAAACTGTTGAAATCTCACTCCAGATCACTGCTTGGTTTTGGAAACAGCAAATTAATTTTAAAAAAAATGTTGCCCAAATATCCTAGTACTTCAATGTTAAGTCTGTAAACGTTAAATTAGCATTCTAGTAAGAATAATTATGATTTATCACCATCTCTGCTTTCACAGAAAGTCATGTGTTAGAATTTCAAAGTTTATATGTGCCAAGCACTGTGCAAAATGCTGGAAATTACAAAGATTAAATTTCCAACCTCAAGGAGCTAAATACAGTGGGTTAGACAGGTAAGTAAGCAAACATACAAAGCAAATGGTTGAGTGCTGCAATAAAATAAAAAAGAGTAGTGAGGAAGAGGTAGGTAAAGCACAGAAAAGACTATTTTTTTTTTAAAGATGTATTTATTTATTTATTCATACAAACATGGTACAGTCAGAAGCGCAGGAGGGTGAGAGAATTCACCAGAGCCAGAGCGGGGAGCAGAGCAGGCAGAAGGACCGAAGTACACTGCTGAGGGGAGCAGCGGGCGGCAGGAGAGGTCTGCGCGCCATGTGGGACCCTCCTCCAGTGGCCGGGGAGCAGCCGGGGATCGAACCGGTGCTGCGGAGGCTGCAGGCAGCTTCGCAACCCAGCGCTCAACCGCTGCGCCACCGGGGAGGCCCCAGAAAAGACTTTAGAGAAGAACTATCCCTTGATCTAAGACCTCAAATAAATGAGGAAAAAAACAGAAATATAACAGAAGGATGGAATCCGAGCAGAATTACCACATACAGAAATAAGGTGAAAAATCCCAGAAACTGTCAGGAATACAAATTATTTCAACTATTTGGAGCACTGGTGGCTACTAAAGAGGTAGAAATGGAGCTAAGAAAGATGGTACCGGCTCAGATTATGATGAATGGCCTTATTTGACATGATAAAGATACAGATGGACTCATAGGTGATGGAGAGTTTGGACTTTTAAATGAAAGCAACCCAGGGCCATTCCAGGGAGTCACATTCCCAAAGAATCTGGTGTGATGGCATCCTTTAGACTTACACAAGAACTGTATTCACCTACAGGACTATCTCTAAAATGGCAGAACTCATTCATCAATGTATACCCACCATCTATGCCTGTGATTGCCACATACAAACACTAAAAAAAGTATTGGCATAGCTGATGTAACAACGTAATGCTAATAGCATAACCAAGAAGTCCTAATCAAGTCTCCTTCCTTACTGCCGATAAAATCACAAGTCTTACGTGCTACTATAATTTCTAATCACCACAACTCTTAAGGGAACATGAAAGAGCTCACTGACTATGGGCTGCCCCAAAGATAAGAAACTATTGGAAGGGGAGGGGACAGAATCATTCATGATTATGAAGCTGACTAAGCAGTTAATTCTATCCTTTTTGCCAAAAACTGACTGGATTAGGTCAAAATTATTCATCAACTCATTCTACGGCAGAGGCAATAATTATAAAAATATATATTTTCCTATCAAAAGGACTTGTAATATAAATACCTATTTTAACTAAGAATTTGCTAGGTTTCTCTTGTCTTTCAAATAATTAAGTGTTCCTGATTTTCCTGTAGTACATTGCATTTTACTTAGTAAACTAAATTATTATAATTGCCATGTAAATAAGGAGTACAATTCTTGTACTTAGAAAAACATGGGGAAATTTAAAGAAAGTTTAGGTAATCATGGAAAAAAAATTAAGTAGGAGGTTAGAAAACTAATGGTTTAAAAAGCTACGGCATATTCTAGAGATAGATGACAACTCTTTGATGTATGAAGAATGAGTGCCAAACATTTAAAGAAATGGATCCAAAGGCTACATAAATAAAAGAAGAGATATAGCTAGTTCACAAATTCGGTTTTTAAATGAAATTAAGGCATATAAAAACCTATTAGACACAATTAAACATATTTTTAAATTTTGTTACCAGTAAGAAACAATGAGTAACAGTGGGGGTGGGGAGGGAAGAGGGCGAGGACAAGGACTAACAACATACCCAAAGACATAAAGACAAAAATATACACTGCATGTACATTAGAAACACATGAGATTAAATATCTTGTGTTTTAAGGATGGGCTTTCAAAGACACATGGTATTTTTGCTATGAAAGTCTGAATATAATTCATGTCATTATTGCCTGTTGCCCCAGTTAAAAAACAATACAGCAATCCTCAACTGTATCCCCTCTACACACACACAACTTTCTTTGAATATGTTACATGTTAATAAACTAATATATATAATAAGTTATCATTTACTGAGCCTCTTAGCCTCACAATTGTCTAAGGTAGGCTTTATTGCCTCCACTTGACAAATGAAGAAACTAAAAAAGGTTAAATGACTGGATCCAGGCCACATAGCTAGTAAGTAATGAGGCTGGAATTCAAAAATCACTTGTCTATGGCTTTGAAGTCCACATTTTAACCAATGTACCAGGCAACATGACTTAAATTTTAGGTGCTGTCATGTTTAAGACTGTTGTTTTCTTATCGTGCTATCCCCTGAGTATTGTTTACGTTCAGATACTTTAAATTTCATGGAAAACATTAACAACTTATAAAGCTCTTTCACAATAATGCAAATCTTCCTAGTAGTAAATTAAAATTTTAATTACCAGAGGTATTTCAAATAAAGCTACCTGGTTAGATTATAGAAAGAAATCGGCCCTCCTGCTATATAATTTGAACACTGCCTGTCAACTTTATTTTCAAAATAAACAGCCACTTTATTTCTCTACTATTTATAAACTGAAGCAACCAAACAGTGTTATCACTACTTCCACTCAATCCCTAATCAAAAACAGGCTCTGTTGTTATGACAATGGTCAAAAACTTCACTTAACTCTCACCCTCACCTGATTTAATGCTGAATAAAACAAAGTGCAAAAACCAAGGATAGTAGCAAAAAAGTAAATTTCCATAACAATAGGTTTACTATTTCAAACGTCCAGGAACTGATGTGCCTTTTAAAAGGGTGGCTAAACAAAAATGGGATGCCCATATATACTCATTGTGGCAAGTGTAGCCAATTCAGCAAAGCAACAATCCTTTTGAGAAAAGAATGCCACATATGTTACAGTAAAACAAAATTAATACATGTGCCTTGTAGAGTACTTTTAACCATGTAATCGCCCTTCAAAAGACAAATCAGAAGCAGAACACCTTCATTTTAGCAACAAAGTCTTTAGATGATAGTGTCCATTTTGCAATAATCTCTAAGGTTCCCACATTTCTTAGATTTTTTTAAAAAGTGCTAACTTCCCGACTTACATCTAAAACAGTCATTACATGTGTACGTGTGTTCTACTCATTCAATTCAGAATCATATGTAGGAAACACAGGTTTCTGTTTCTGGATTTACGACTCCATACCCAGTCATTTTGCTCTAATATAACCACTAAATATAGTCCTAAGACACTGATGATTAAAAGTAGTTAATTATGTGAGTGATTCATACCTCCTATGTCCAGACACCAAGCTCCAAGGATGTTTCTGTCAGATCTACAGGAGAGGAAAGTGTAAACACCTGTCACAAAAGCTTTCCTATGGGGAAGCCGGAACTGAGTTAGCTGTCAACCCAACTTGGTTCCCTCGCCCACCGCCAACCTCCCCCCAAAAAGGTCACACACCACCCACCAGAACCTAACTTTGTGATGGGAATGGGCAGAAGGAAAGGTCACGAAGAGCCAGACCCCGGAGGTACTAGAGGAAAGGGCCCTGGACTTTTGTAGCCCTCACTACTACAAGTCAAAGTGAGAGGCTTAGGCAAGTCAGCAGTCACTTCTCCCCTGGGGCCCCTCTGGGTTTATCAATAAAATGCGGCGAGATTGGCAAAGCGCTCTACGGCTCGGTGGCTAAGAGCGAACTCAACATTCCTTCAGTCAGCGCTCGCACAAACCCATCAAGGGCCCTGCCCATGCCCCCTGTCCTCGACCACACCATCTCCGGGTCGTCCTAAAAGGGTGAGTCCATCCTCCCACTGCCAAGCCCCAGAACAATCGCCCTCCCCTCAAGCAGCGTGTTCAAACCAGGCCTTCACACCCACAACGTGGATCCCGCCTCGCTTCACCTGCCCCTGACATTCCGCGGTCGCAGCGCTCAGTCCCCACCCCACACGCCCCTTCCCAGAAAGCAGATGCCCGATTCCGGCTCCGGCAGGCCGACCACAGGCGCCCCCGGTACTCGCCGCTCCCGATCTCACCCTTCCCTCCAGCAACCTCCCCCATCACCACCACCCACCCTCTCCGCGCCCCGCTCACCTCAGGAAGCCGGAGCCGCTTACCGCCGCCGCCGCGCCGTCTCCTCGGCGGCCTCCCGCCCGAGCAGCCGAAGGACCGCGGGGGGCCGGGGCCGGGCCGCCGGTCTCGCCGCCGCCGCCTCGCCTCAGCCCAGCCCCATCGCCCTCGGCCGGCGCCGGCGGCCGCGGGTCGCTCGGGCTCGAGGCGCCGCTGCAGCCGCCGCCGCTACCGCCGCGCTGCGGCTCGGGGTGAGAGAGGGAGGCTCCGCGGCCCGGGCCGAGCCGGGCGCAGGGGCGTCCGCGCTCCGCTCCTCCGCGCCCGCGGCGGCGGCGTGCAGCCGAGGCAGGGAGAGAACAAGGGAGGGCGGCAGGGGGAGGCGGGCAGGGGAGGGGGCGGTCTGCGCTCCGAAACAGCCTCCAGCCGCCAGCTACGTAGCGGCCCCCCCCCCCCCCTCCGCCGTGGCGCCCAGATCACGCTGCGGGGAGAGCCGGCGAGCGGGCGGGGGAGCGCGCGCGGCGAGCTCGGGACTCCCGCGCCGGACGTGAGGTCACGTGATTGCCTCATCCCCGCGCCGAGGGCGGAGGGGCGCAGAGGGGACGTCAGAGGGGCGGGGCCGACGGTGTCGGGCGGGGCGAGTGGCTGGCCCCACCCACCCCTCAGGGCCTAAGCTCTAGCCCTCCCCCGGCGTGCAAAGAAAGGGCGGGGAAAGGCGCGCCTGAAGAGTTGCGCGTTGGGGAAAGAAATTACTAACTTAGCAGGACGGCTTTTTTTGGCGGGAGGAGGTGAATTTGCAACTCACCGTAGAAAGACAAAATCATAGTCCAAATCCCCATTTTGTGAACAGGGAAACTGAGGCCCTGCGAGGGTCCCCGACTAGAATTCCCCAGAGTGGAGGTGCTAGGATGGAGAGGAAGCCAGATCCTGGCTCCCAGTCCAGGGCTCTTTCCTTTTTCTTTTTTTTCCTTCTTTTTAAGGTTTATGTATGCATGCAAGAGCTGGGGTACAGGCCAGAAATGTGGGGGGTGAGAGAATTCACTAGAGACAGAGTGGGGAACAGACCAGGCAGACTGAGTGAAATGCACTGCTGAGGGGAGCAGCGGACGAGACAGGAGAGGTCTGCCGCGCCATGCGGGTCACCTCCCTGGCCGGGGGTCGAACTGCTGCAGCAGCTGCGGATAGCTTCATAGTGCTCACGCTTAATCCCTTGCGCCACCAGGAAGGCCCCCCGGTCTCTTTGATTCCTTAACACTCTCCCCCCTCCCAGCCTGCTCGGAAAACGAAGAAACTAGAACCCGCATTTCACAAGCGGCTAGGCTCGCGGGGAAGGAGGCAGAGGCAAGAGAAAGCTCCTCGCGCCGGCTCCAGTGCCTCCGGCGGGAAGGAGTCTCTTCCGTCAGTGCTGAATGCAAATGAAATACTTCCCTCCGCTGAAGATTTATCTACCCGCCGCCCCCGGCCGGACATCCAAATCGCAAGTTTGGTTTTCCCTTTGGCGAGGGCGACCGCGCCGGGTGCGCGTGGAGAGCGCACAAAAACCAGCTGCCTCTGGCTGTAGAAGTCTTTCGACCTTGAGTCTACCTCGCCTACGCCTTTCCGTCCTGCTGTCGTTGTTATTACACCTTGCGGCTAACAGAAGCTCTAACTGCTTAAGCTTAAGAAAGAAGACGCTGGCACGCGCTGTTTCTGGTGCGCTGCTCTCCTGGATACCTGTCCAGGGGCAGGGAGCAGTGAGCCTCTATTTTGTAGCACAGGGCAACATTTAATGGGAGGCTGTCACCCCTGGTCCACTACACATGGTGACGCCTCACCTGGGGCAACACACCGCCCCAAGCCACAGCACGATGACACCTCACTGGGAGCCTGGAAAACGCTTCTCCTGGCTCCCCTCGGTTTCACGGCCCTGGACAGCCTCCTCGCCTTTCCTCACACTATGTAGGTAGTGTGGACTGCATACTGCACTGATGGAGCCACTGCTGCCTCCCCAACCCCTAGGCTCACCTTCCCCTTCAAAGAGCTCAGTATTCAAAGGATTGAGTGACATAAGGGATGTGGACATCCCGTAAAACCTCCATTCCCACCTCTCTCATCTCCCGGCCATTTCCCCTCAACCTTGAAACAAAATCAAGTTTCTCAAGTCCTCAAAATAACACTGTCAAGCAGAACCCTCCACCCAAAGTGCCCTCTCCAGTCAGAGTCCAAGAAATTGCTTCCCTCCCTTGCATGCAGACCTATTAACAGTGCCCTGACTATCTACACTTCCTCATTTCTCAACACTTACTGATTTCTCCACCAACATCCACCACTCTCCCTCACCCTGCTCAAGCAAGAGTGACCCAAGACCGTCATTTCCCCAAAATCTGGCATTCTCCAGACCTTTTTTTCTCTGGATCTTTCTGCTACATTAGACCCCTCAGTTGACAACCACCTTCTGGAATCTTCATATTACCTTGGTCCCCTAAAAAGTGCACTTCTCCAATTCTCACTTCTCAGTAAATAAGGCCTCTGCCTCCTTTGGTGGTATTGTCAAGTGCTATCAATTGTGAGTCTGCACCTTAAATGCAAGATGCCAGTAGAAACCCATAGTTCTTCTCACTCCACTCACTCTGGGAGGATTGCCTCCACTCTCATAGTTTCAGCTATCAGATAGCTGTCTCCAGTACAGACCTCTTCCACAATAATTGGACCCAAAGGGCTTCCCCATTGGCGCAGCGGTTGAGCGCTGGGTTGCGAAGCTGCCCGCAGCCTCTGCAGCGCCGGTTCGATCCCCAGCTGCTCCCCGGCCACTGGAGGAGGGTCCCACATGGCGCGCAGACCTCTCCTGCCGCCCGCTGCTCCCCTCAGCAGTGTCCTTCGTCAGTCTGCCTGTTCTGTTCCCCGCTCTGGCTCTGGTGAATCCTCTCACCCTCCCGCTTCTGACTGTACCCAGTGCTTGTATAAATAATAAATAAATAAATCTTTAAAAAAAATAATAATAATAATAATAATTGGACCCAAAAATCCAATGGCCTGCCAGGCAAATCTAGCTAGATATTACAAGTGTTGGGGGGAAAGGATGTCCTGAGCTAATTCCATGCAGGCTTTGTGGGCCCCACCCCCACTCCAGACCAAAGCCATCAAGACATTGGGAAAGACAAATCTGTCACCACCAAAGGGAAGGTGGCTGGGACCTGAGGGTGGAGTTAAGCAGCCAGGTTGGGTATAAAAACCAAACACGTGGGCCTTGGGGGGCTCACTCTCTCACTGGGCTCCTGGCTCGCGGCCAGCTCTCAGAGCGCCATTTGGGATTCCTGATCGGCGGATCGGGTAGGACGCATTTAAAACTTTGTCTCCCACTTTTCTCCCTGAGCTGTACATTTCCTCATTTGCCCTTCCCTTGTAAATAAACCTTTTATTAACCTTTCATGTGTGCCTGCAGTAGAGCATTGATAAATCCTTTTAAGCACGCAGGTGAGGACCCACAGTCAGGCAACCCATTTTGTATCAGGACTACCCTATAACACAAGGACACCCCAAACTCACCATGTCCAAAACAACTCATCTTCTGCCTCCATAGGGGCCCCTCCCTCAGCTTTTGGCATCACCAGCTAGTCATCAGGAATTAGAAAGTTGGGAATGAGTGAGTCATTCTTGATTCAGCCCTTGAGTGATTCATACTTGATTCAGTCTTCTGTCTTGTCCCAACACCAAATCCTATCTAATTTACCTCCTTACTAAACCTGAAATCCCTACCTCCGTTCCCCCTGTCGTGAGCTCAGCTATCCTTTCCAGACTGAACTGTTAACAGCAGCCTTTAAACCGTCTCCTTCAGACAAGCTCGCCTAGCCTCCAGAGTGAACTATCTAGTGTTGCATTGACAACACCACACTGATAAATGGGAGTCTCAGAGCAAGTTATAGGACGCATGATGCTGCCAAAAAGCAAGATCCTGGCCTTTTTATTGATAGAATAATTATACAGCATCAGTTGTGAGGGAAAGGAGGACAAAAAGAAAAGGGAGGAGTGAAACTAGAAAATGTGCTCTGTCATCTATAGTATCAGGGGCTGTGAGTCTGCCCCCCCAGGCACTTCTCATCGCTTGATGACTTGGTATTGTAATTAAGATCAAGCCCTAGATCCCCAGCCAGGGTTTCAATCTTATCAACAAGGCATTCCACTGATCAGCTTCTGGGGTCCCTTGTCAAACAGCGGATCTCAGCCTCCCCCCACCCAGGGGTTCCCAGTCATACTTCACGATGCATACCCTTCCGAGAGTGATCAAGCGTTCTGCTTTTTTTTTTTTTTTAAGATTTATTTATTTATACATAGAAGAACTGGGGTACAGGCTAGAGGGGGACGAGGGGTGAGAGGATTCACCAGAGACAGAGTGGGGAGCAGAATAGGGGGACTGACTGAAACACACTTCTGAGGCGAGCAGCGGGTGAGACAGGAGAGGTCTGCTGCGCCACGTGGGTAGCTCCCTGACCGCAGATCACACTCATGCTGCAGTGGCTGCGGACAGCTTCACAGTGCTGCGCTAAACCCCTTGCGCCTCCAGAGAAGTCCCAAGCTTTCTATTCTTGGTTGATTTGAAAAGCATCTTGTAAGGTTTAGCTATGACTGATTGACTAGGCAGTTCTGACCTTGTATAGGAATGCAGAATTGCAGGTAACAAAATGGTGGCCGAGCAGGCCGCTTAGGAGTAGCAGACCCACATCTAGAATGTGTAAGTTTTAAAAATGCTACAGGTGTTTGCCTCGTACTTCTTTTATACTATGTACCTCAAGGCTGGAAGCAGGATGCTGTCAATGCATGCCAGCTATTAAAGACCATGAAGAGTCCCAGATTTTAGGAAGCAGCCAAAATCCCTAAAGTAAGGCAACACACAGGCAGGCAAGGGAAAACTCTAGAGAGAAAAAAAAGCAATTGCATGTTTTAAAAAGCTCCCTGCTACTACTGATGTTTTGAGGATGGAGAGAAAACAGTTTGGATACTGACTTGAGAGCACATGCTGAGTCACTGGGAAAAGTTTAAGCATGCTTATAGGCTAAAGGAAAAAATGGATTAGAAAGTGAGAAGCCTAAATCTGAAGAGAAAAGG